AATATCTCATATAAATACTGAAAACCATATAATCTTAAGATCTCAAGAATTTTTCTATTATATTATATAAGAAGGAAAAAATGTTAGCATTAATTAAATAAAATGCTATATTGTATGCAGTTTTGTGAAAGATTATGGTCTAATGCCAGGCATTACAGAGAGGGCGGGAGTGAGTGAACGAATAAGAGAGAGAGAGAGAGAGAGAGAGAGAGAGAGAGNGAAAAATTTTATTTTAAATTTTAAAACTCATTTAATTGTCAAATACAGAGAGGAGAGAGAAAGAAAGAAAGAAAGAGAGAGAGAGAGAGAGAGAGAGAATTTAGTATGAATTTAATGCCTCAACAAATGTTGGATAATATAAAAAACGAGATAAATTTGATTAATTTGTCATTTTTTCATAAAATTAATTACAGGAAATTTTTAAGTCAAAGCAATGTTGTGTTTTGTTTCCACAATGTCTTCAAGACATTTATAAGACATTTATTTAATACACAAAGTTTTTAAATAATGTTTAATATAAGCCACACATTTGTAAATCCTTTTGATTATAAACTTAAATATAGGTCTCTCTCTCTCTCTCTCTCTCTCTTTCTTTCTTTCTTTCTCTCTCCTCTCTGTATTTGACAATTAAATGAGTTTTAAAATTTAAAATAAAATTTTTCTTTGTGTTATTATATTTAAAATAAAATTTTACTAAACTTGTCAAAGTAATGTCTAAATATAGTAATAATATATAAGCCTCTTATTTTAAAATTAATATTCAATGACCAGAATATTCTGCGAAAATTTGTTAATAAAATAATTAAAATGTTATAAAATGTAAATTCTTAAATATAAATAACCATGATTTAATGTGTGCCATAATTAGTGTCTGTTATAACGAGAATATAGTGTATTATAATATAAAACTAGAGAGAAATTAAATTACCTAAACAATTCTTGGCCCAGAAAAAACTAATAAAGATAATAAAAAATAATAATAATAAATGGTTATAAGTGAATATAATTTGCATAAATGTTAAATAAATTACAACTTCTTTGTCGGCTGAATATAAAGTAAAATTATTTGAAAGTATATTCACTTAACTATAAGACATTTCTCTTGGATCTCAAGTGTCTTTTGAGTGATTCAACAAAAAAGCTATATTTTTATTGTTTTTCGTTTTGTAGACTTTTTTAGGGTTACTTCGACTGACTTTATATTAGAAAATATATTTTTCAATCCAAGAATAACCAATATATAACTTTTATATATATCATATACCAAATACACAGTATATCTATACAATATATAAATATAAAATACATAAAAGAAAAATAAATGATTGATTGATATAATGTTTTCAAACACATAGTTTTGGTCCAATATATTATCGTTTCCTATAACACAACACCACATCTAATCTTAAATGAGATGTAGTTTTTTTGTTGCCATAAAATTTATATTTTACTCTCGACTTCTCTATCAATACAGCAAAACGAAAATCATTTCACACAAAAATCTATACCAAATAATTTTGAGAAAAATATAACATATTTTTTTGTAGTTTTAAAAGAAATGGCAAATATTTTATCGTTTGTTTTTTCATAACAATTGCCGACAAGACGTGTATCGTTTTGAGTGTCGATATATTTTTTTTTAGGTATACAAGTATTGTATAGAAATATATTGATATGTATTTTATAAGTAGAATATATTGCAGAATATTCTTTAATGGCTTTTATTATAGATATGCGTGTATTTCCTTTTACAGAATATTCCGTCCATTTTTATATCTCTTAGTTTTTTCCTGAGAAAAAACGGGCGAAAATTTGTCACAAATGACAACAAACACATCATTCATATACCAAAACAGAGAGAGAGAGAGAGAGAGAGAATCATTAGACAGAAAGGCATTGAGATGTGTTAAGCAAAATAAATCAAATTATTTTGCCATTCAATTCATTGGTTGTGATTTTCAGTCGTGAATTGAATTGTTTTTATTTTGCTTTTGTCAGTGATATTACTATTTTTGTTGCTGCTGTGCAACACATTAACAATTGTTGTTTTGTTGTTTATTGGTCGTTTAGATGTCCACACAATCACCTATCTCATTGTCGGGTCTATGCTCAGCAAAATCAGCCCAAATACTTGTGACCACAAGTTTTTATTTATACACAAATCTATTTAATAGAGTGCTTTACTCGTATATCACGGCTTTAAATCTATATGCAATGCCCGGAGCCTTATAACGACTGTCCCTCACTAATGAATATCAGAGAGAGAGAGAGAGAGAGAGAGAGAATTGGTGAGCCGTTTAATGTCTGTAAAGAATTGCATTGCGAATTGAAATCTTATATACAGTACAGTAAAGTGTGTGTAAAAAAATAGGTTGAATTGATTTTATTTGTGAGATTTAATGGAAATCTCTAATCATTTATAATGTTCTGATTTTTCGCAATATTTTTCCATATATTTAAATTAATATAAAATACATGAATATTTATTGGCACGATAAATATACGTTCAAATTGGTTTTAGTAAATGTGTACACTGTATAATACTGTATATTTATCTGTTTGTGTACATTAAAATCATGATACATTTTTCATACTTAAATAATATCATATATAAATTTCAATAACACTATTCTGTGTGCCTGTGTTGGCCATTAAGTGGCGATTCATAACTACATGCAAAACAACTTAACCTAAATTTTTACGCAGAATATTCTGTCTCTATGTGTAAATATTAAGAAACCCGATCTTATGAGTGAATTACTTATTATATTCTCTCTCTCTCTCTCTCTCTCTCTCTCTCTCTCTCTCTCTCTCTCTCTCTCTCTCTCTCT